AAAGGAGCCAACCGCTAATTACATAAGCCCCCATTGGCCTCCTCTTATTGAATTATATATAATTAAATAGGATTGGGAGTCTCTTATATTGACCTCGTTTAGGGCTATTTAACACTATTAACACTATTCTTTAGGGATTAGTTAAGTAGTTGAATAAGCAGCAGCAGTAATAACTTTTGCTTATATAAAATAATAAATTTCAATTTCTGTTTTATATGTTTATTATTAGACATTAAGACAAGAATAAAAGGAGACTGAAATTATAATAATTAGCAGTCCTTTGTAAGTTAAAATAAATAAAATAGATATAATTAATATTAAGAACATGATGTTGGTTTAGCCTGAACGCATATTAGGGATTTTACACATGCAAATTAAACATAATATAATATTATAAAATAATAAAAATTATAATATGTAGTGAACAAGTGAGTAAAATTTGGTAAAAAATAATAATTAATATTATAAGTATTTTTATAAAATTTAAAAAATTAGAATAAATATAATAAGATTTAATATTTCCGCGCCTTTAGGCGCGGGAGGGTTAAAAATATGAAATTATATTGATAAAAATATAACCAAAGTCAGTTTAAGGTAGTTGATGGAGAAAGCCCACCAAGCCTAAGATCTGTAATCGATTATAAAAATAAGAACGATCACGTTGGTTCTGAAAAACAATCAACATCTTATAGATGCAGCAGTGGAGAATATTTGGCAATATTCGAAAGAATGACCAAGTTCCTAATACGATGCTATTTAAAATATTATATAATTATAAATATATAAATATAATAAAAATATATAAAATATATATAATTAAGGGCAATGCTGCATTGCAGCGATGTCCCAAATCTGCGGCCGCTTTGCGGCCGTAGAATAAAAATATAAATATAAATATAATAATAATAGAAATATTATTATTTAATAATAATATTATTAACAAAATAAATGGGAAAAACAATAAAATCGTAAAAAAATACTATAATGAAGTATTAAAATTAAAATTTTAATAATAATATAAAGAATATTAATATTAAAATTAGAATAATAATAATGTCTTAACTCAAATTCGTGCCAGCAGTTGCGGTTAAACGAAGGAGGCAGCGTTAGGTGGATTGGCTTAAAGGATCCGTAGTCAGATTAAGAAATAATAAATTAATAATAAAGCCGTATTAAATATGGAAATATAAATATTAAATATTTATAAAAATTATTAAAAATTATTTCTAAAATAAAGCCCTATCATTATAATAAATATAATGTAAGATTTATAATAAAAATAAATTTTTAATTGTTAAACGATTATAGGTAAATTAGAGTAAAATTATTAAGAAAAAAGAATTAATCAAATAAAGATAAAATTTAATGAATTGATTAGGACAGCTCGAAACGAAGGTTTTTTTCTATATTTTACTGACTGTGAGGGATTAAGGCAGAGGGAGCAAAAAAGATTAGATACCTTAGTAGTCTCTGCATTGAACTATGAATATTTTATTTATTAAAAAAATAAATAACAGGGAAACCTTAAATATTCCGCCAGGAGAGTATAGCTGCAAAGTTGAAATTCTAGACAATAGGCGGTTTAGAGCTTCAATAGTGGATTGTAAAG